GAAACATGCACAAATGAAATAAATAATAAAATACATATGAAATAAAATAAAACTTCAACCAGTTGTAGCTAGTACAATAAAAAAAATATATATTATATTTATATACATAGTATATTCCCCACTTTCCTTTCTTACTTACATTAAGTAGCCTTCTGGTTTCTGGCCTGTGACAAAATTGAGATGTTATGTAATGCCCGTATTACATCTGTGTATTTTTCCGTGTATTTATTCATGTAGTTCAGGGTGCCAACATTATTTTGTTTTTCATAATGCTCATTTATGTTGCGTTTAACGTATTTCGGTTGTCACTTTGAACTACATGAATAAAAACACAGAAAAATACACAGATGTAATACGGGCATAAGAATTGATATTTTGGTAGCGTGAATAATTCTGTAACATCTTAAAATTTCGTGGTAAATTATGCTGAAAAGTAAATTTGACCTGAAGCAGTAAATAACAGTTTACTGAACCGGGGGCAATCTGAACGAAATCTTCTTTCTTCTCTTCTTGGAGTTGTTAATGAAAAGTTTTACTTTGGGTACCACTTTAGAAGCCCATTGGCTACCCCTCAGTACCGGGCTTGCAAGAATCGACAAAGTCAAAGATTTTCAACCCTCTCAGCTTTCAGCGATTCGCTGAAAGTACCCTCTGGTTTCTTGTTGATTTCCCATTGGTTTTCAAGTTTATTCAACCTTCCCCATTGAAACTGCTCGATCCTGGATGCCGGTGTTATGTGTCCTATCTCCTCTCTACAAGTCTCGCAGAGCGTCCTCCACCGGCGGCAGTGGAAGAACGAATGCTCGGCATTATCTGTCTCCCCGCAGTGTATATATTCATCATCTGGTAACTTGCCTATTGCATATGTGTATTCACGAAAGCAGCTGTGGCCCGTGAGAAACTGGGTCATGAGGTAGTCTGTCTCGCCATGCTTTCTGTTCATCCACGTTCTGATTTCGGGTATAAGTTTGTGTGTTCATCTTCCCTTGCTGCTGCTGTTCCATCTGTCTTGCCATGCGGTCATGGTGTCCTCCTTGGCCTCCCGCCGGGCAGTGGCTTTTGAGTGTGTCGCGGCTTGGGCCACGTACAAGGCCTGCCTAACGAGGAGGTCCATCGGGGGGGTTTCCGCTATAACTAGGATTGCATCCGTAGACGTTGTGCGCTGCAGATGCGCAGTACCGCCTGACATTGCGTTTTCGCGAATATGTTTCTGGATCTAGCAGCGTTCATGATGTGGCCCCAGACCGGTGCCACGTACATCAAATCGGAGCCAGCCACCGAGTATAGGAGGGTCTGGTCCGCTCGTGTTGGACATCAAATGTGAGAGAGCCGTCATTGCGTTACCCGCTCTAGCGGCTATGTTTTTGGCGTGGGGGACACAGGTTAGCCTCCTGTCCAGCCAGACGCCTAGGTATTTGATTTCTGATCTTGGTGAAATAGTTCTTCCAATGATGTTTAGGTTTCTGTGGGGTACAATTCTTCTGGAGGTCAGAATGATTGCTTCAGTCTTGTCCTCGCACAACCCCAGTTTATTTGCTAGGAGCCATCTTCTTATACCAGGTATTGCCAGGTTAATCTTCTTTTCAGCCTCGTCCATGTTTTTGGCTAGCGCGACCATCGCGACATCATCTGCATAGTCGATTAGGTGGACTCCTTTGGGTTGCGGGAGGTTCAGCAGTTCATCGTAGAGAATGTTCCACAGAGTGGGGCCCAAGACGGAGCCCTGTGGGATACCGCAAAACATACGGAAAGCCTCATTTGTACCCTCCGCCTCCAGGATCCCGGTTCTTTCCGTAGTCCATAATGATATTCATGATGCAGAGTGCTGCGTTTCTCTTGACTAACTCTTCTATGATAACTGCCACGAGGCGGAGTTTAAGGCATTCCTTATGTCTTGGGTGACCATTATAACGATTTCTCTATGTCTATGACTCCTCTTGTTTATAGCCGGTCTGATAGTGTCCAAAACCTTCAGGATAGCCGTCGTAGTGGACATACCTTTTCTGAAACCGAACTGCCTCACGCTCAGGGACTCTGATAGGTTCAGGTATCCATGCAGTCTGGCCAGTGTGACGTGTTCTAGGAGTTTGGCTCCTGCGTTTAAAAGGCAGAGTGGTCCATATTTTTGCATCTGGTTTAAGTTTTTTTTTTGGGCTTCTCCATGAGCACCAATACTGCTTTCTTTCTTCTTCTTTCTTTAGCAAGTGGAGTAGGGGTTTGGTGACTAGGTTGGGATCCTTCACCACTACCAGTTTAAGGAAGTCAGCTGGTATGCCATTCATACCGGGTGCTTTGTTATTCAAATCAAATCAAATCAAATCAAAAAGCCTTTATTTATATATGTTACATCAATTTGTTCATATGGTTAGTTTTAATAAGTGGCGAGATCTAGCATAGCTATTCTATCTAACCACTTTGAAAAACATAGACGCCAAGTTCGTGAACGCCATGAAATGTATGGTATGGAAAAATAATTAAAAAAGAGAACAATAAAAAAAAAAAAAAGCATGAATACAATTAATCTAGAAAAAAGAATGGCATTACATAAATATTTAACCAAATAACAAATATGCGAATTTACTTATTCTAACAATTCTATCAATTCAGACTCCCCAGAATGACCAAGCGAGACAAACTATGGTGTTATGTAAATGGATTTCAAATTCCTGGCTTTAAGGAAGCTTTTGAGGGATCTCTTGAACGTAGGTACAGTTTTAGAGCATCTCATTTCAAATGTAATCGAGTTGTAACATTTCGTTGCAACGTACCGGAAGCACCTGTGAAAGAGAGCCGTCCTGTGCCTGGGACCTGTAAACAATCCTCTATGCCGGGTAGGTAGATTATGAATGTCCGACCCTCTGATCAGTCTTTTGACCAAGTATTTAGGCTGGAGGGTCAAGATAATTTTGTGAACTATTGTACACATGTGCAAGAAGAATCGCTCATCAAGCCGGAGCCATCCAGACTCTACATAGTAGGGCGAGATATGGTCAAATTTGCGCACACCATATGAAAATCTTAAACATGCGTTTTGGAGTTTTTGAAGACTTTCTTGGTCTTTCTTTAAAAGTGCGGGCCAGTACAGAGTGTCGCAGTATGATATTTGTGAGAGGATTAGTGAGTCACATAACCTAAGTTTAACTTTGGTGGATAAGTAGATATTCTTCAGTTTGCTGGCCACAGTTGCGATTTCGTGCGTCTTTAAATTCGGAACATCTACCTCTCTATAATGCAGCTTATTCCAGGTGCCGAGTGGTCTGGTCGGGAACAATTCTTGTGCCACCTCTAGGGATTTCGCCATTGTTAACGCTCCACGCTTGCTCGTAACCCTCAGTCTTCTCTTAGCAATTCTATACCCATCGCCCCAGCCATCCTCGTTGATCTCCTCGCATAGGTTCTTCCAGGATTTCCTTTTGGATGCATTGATGGCTGCTTTAAGCTTTTACCTCTGGCTGGAATAGTTCTCACTGTCTATTTTTGCTCTGTTTGTGTCTTTCCGGTTGTTCCTGGTCATTTTTCTCCTAAGGTTTAAGCAGGACTTTCTGAGGTCAGCGATTTCTCGTTCCACCGGTACACTGGTTTTCTGTGGGCATTACCTGGGGACAATTTGGGCATTGATGCTTGGTCAAATTGCTCCGCGGACTCCAGAGGTGGGTTCCATATCGCTCTTGCGATCGCCTTATTTAGCCTTTTCACATGTCGGTCTGACTTCGCCAATGCGCACACATTCACGTCCACACACATTCCGGCTCTATCTCTTATCAACGTGGGCGAGTTGCCTTTGTTTTAAGGAACCAGGTTGTGTGTTGTCATCCACTCTAGCAGAATATTGCCCTTTCTATTCGTAGTGCGCATGCCCCATTCTGTTGCCCAGGAGTTAAAGTCGCCTGCAATGATGTCCTTCTTGGAGCTGGTCAGGAGGATTCCAAGGGCGTCTAGGGATTGGCTGAAGGCCTCTGTAGTTATGCTGGGTGCAAAATAGCAGCTGGCGATGACGTAATCCTTTAACTTTGTCCATACAAAGCCGTCACCTGCTACAAAGTTCAGGCAGGCCATGTTCCGATTTCTCGTCTTTAGAGCGGCATCCGTCCTCTGGTCGACGTGCCATGATGTATGGCTCACGATTCCATGGTTCGGCTCGGAGATCAGCTTGTAGGCTGTTCGCCGCAATGTCCAAGAGGTCATGGGCTGTGCGGCACCTATTTATGTTCAGTTGAAGGATCCTTATGGGTTTGGTATTCCTGTGTTTGTCCAAGTCGTGTTTACGTGTTGTGTACTGCATTAGGTGTTATTCGAGTTATGTGTACACTGGGGACTCTGGGCGCTGATCTTGGGGGTCGCCCACCTCGCCCTGATCTTGCGGTGGATATATTTGGGGTCTTTCCGAGTGTCGTTTCTCTTTTCTCCTCAGCGAGATGGCTCTGCGGAAGGCCGGGCAGGAAGCGGAGCCCGCCTTGTGTGCCTCCTCGTTGCAAAAGGGGCAGATAGGCGGGCCCCCCTCGCAGGCTTTGACGTCGTGACCCCTTCTTCCGCATTTAAAGCAAATACCACGCATGCTGAGGCCCTTGCACTTGCCGTAGCTGTGGTCATAGTTCCAGCATTTCCCGCATCAGGGGACATGTATCCTTCTTTCCATCCTACTCCCTGATAGGCTGCTTGAGTAGCGTGTCTGCCTTCTGAGCGTCCAGGGTGAGAGTGACGGCCTGGGTGTTTCCCGCGTTCGGTCTCATGTTGCTCAATTTATATTCTTCCTCTCCGAGTGGTCCCAGGATGTTGGATAGTTCGAGCGCGACGATTCTCGTATTTCCGTTTTCGTTTGAAATGGCCTCTCTTATCTTTTGCATGGCTGAACGATCTTTGTTCATGGTGATGAGGACTCTTTGGTCCTCCTGATCGACCTGATAATCATTGTTTTTCAACTTTCCCTTTATGTCCCGCACGGTATCCTCAAAGTTCTTCCCCTCCTGTTTGACTAAGAGTGCAGGAAGTCCTTCTCGTACCTTGTATGAGGATGCGGGTGCATTTTTCTGCATTCTGTTTGTAAAAATTGTGACTTGAGTGTCACCTCCGTGGAAGATTGCCTCAGCCATCTTTCTGAGCCTTTCGACGCTACATTTCTCTAAGTGATGTAGAGCTACCCACCGGTCTTCCTTCGTTTCCTCTTTCAGCATATTTAGCTTGTGCCATAAGTCCTCCTCGCAGTCTCCTTGGTTGATCTTTATGACCTTTTGGGTTGGTAAGGTGTCGTTTCTGAGTTTCCAGTTCGATTTCTGTTTTAGTACCGCAAAGTCTTCCGTTGACTCGGTAAGCTCCGGATATCCGTTTCTATAGAGCATTTGGATGCTCTCGTCTATGCTGGCATCACTGGGTTCAACCAGGACAAACTTCACCGTCGTGGCCTTTGTATTCCCAGCTGTACTTCCGTATTTTGGTACAGTTCTTCTGGCCAGGTTTTCTGCGCCGTGTTTAGCCATTTCTCGTATGTCTATACTATCCAGCCCTTTGCATGTGTTGTCATAAGGGTGGTTCCACGGCCCTGTTTGGGTGAGTCTCTCGTCGTGGAGCGTCTGGTGCCACAAGTAGGGCACCTCTGTTCTCCGGCTATGGGCGCTCCTTGTGTTTCGTCTGTTTGTGTTTCTATCTCTCTTCTGTTTTTCACTTCCAACCTATTTTGGTTCTCGATTCTCTTTGGGCTTGTTTGCGTATCCGTTTCTATAGTTAGTTTTCTGTTTTATTGTATCTGTGTTGGTTCAGCCATTCTTTAATATGCGTCTTCCCTACCACTTTTATGTGTTTACTCAGTTCCTTGAAGATATCTTTAATTTCCCGTTCGGTATTTTGTTCTACATTTTTCGACAGTCATACAATTTGTTATTGTATCTTAAAAATCCAGCTCATGTAATTATTGCTTCGCTACACACACACACATGCTTCGAATATACATAATTCTTTCCAGCGGTATCAGTTACCTGATATCTGGGTTCGTCATAAAACGTGGGTATTCAGAGGATTATCCATGACTTTGAATAAATTACTACAACCACATGGGACCTGGTTCAGTCGACAGATTAGTTTAAAGTTTAGTGTTTATCTAGGAAAACATAACTTTTGCCTATATATTTGTAAATTTTCGGGTAACAGTAATAATAATCTTGAAGCTATAAAATTCGATACTTTTTTGGCTTTCAAGTGATTTTTACCCTCGAACAGATTAGGTAGTTCGCAGAGCTCCATGTGTTTGTAAATTTCATTTGGCTCACATTTTAACTATCTATAAAAATAAAACTTTCCCCACAAAAGATGAGCTTGGACCGAGAATATAAATTTGCTATTGATTTTGTTACAAGCCATATTTCCAATACCTTCAGCAGCTCAAGTCAATACGTCACAAAAAGTATTCCACAATATATTTAACGTATTCGCAAACTTCTAATTCTCTATTATTCGGAATATATTCTCTAATGACTCTCATATCATTATCCCTATTTTCACGATCATTTTGGTTTTATATCAGATTGAGCAATTCATCATTAGATTTTTTCTATCGTGCTAATTTCTTACTTCTTACTTTTGACCAGTCTTTGTTGCCTGAAAGACTTCGCGTTCTTACGTTAAATTAAAACTGAAGTTTCTACTGCTGATTTCCTTTGTGTATTGAATAAGTACCTCAACTATAATCCAAACTATTTTGTTAGCTTCAATTTCGAAATGTGTTATTTAGGATATCAAACTCTAATGACAGCTTTCTGATGAAGTAGCAAAACTGATTAAAGCCACAAAGACGGGCTCAATTATATTGTAATTATCTTCTCTTATATTTCGTGATTTTGTCTTTCTTAATTATGTTATGGTGTCTTGATAACATTCTTGTTCAACCAGATGAAAAATCTAGGTCGGCGCCACTTTTGTTTTTATCTTATTTCAGAAATGTCTAGAATAGATATATAATTAGGTTTTTAATTGCTTAATTTTCCATCTTTGTTTTTATATAAATTTGCTTGGCGTCTTCAGTATTTATAAAACATATCATTTATCAAATAAAGAAATGAAAAAAGTAATAATCCTCTTATCTGGAAACGACATTTTATTTAAAATATGCAAACTATATTTTTCCGGATTATCATCGAGCGACCTCATTCCCATTCTATATCTTTTTATAGGGAGATATTGCGAATTCGAGCAAGAAGCTGTTGCTCGCATTAAACGAAATTCAGGTCAGCGCCGCTTTTATAGGATTGCTTGATGGGCCAGGCGTCGCGACGTTCGCATTGAATTATGAAAGGCGCGAGCAGATTCAGTTATAGCGTTATGGATGAATTTCAGGGAAATTAGGGCCACACTGTTTTCAATGATTCAATCCAGATGAATTTAGGATCTAATCTATCACTTTATGAATCTATATTCTAGATAAACAGAAAAGGAAAAACCGAATCTATCAAAAATTCTCGGTCATAGCATAGTTTAAAAAAATATATACATATATTATATTCAAATTGATGTGACTCTCATCATGCTTTAATTGAACATGAAACACATTTACCTATTATAAGATCAAAAACTCATTTTTGCTTTGTTCCAGATCCTATACCAGAAAATGGCCATCGTTATCATCTTGAGACTTAGTGTATAGTGCTTGAAATTCACTTTGTTCCAAACAAGTTCCATAACAAATATGGATACGACATTAACGTGTTTAATATTCGTCGCGGTAGTGTCACGTAACGGCGGACGTTTATCCGTTTCGGTTAATTTATAGGAATGATGCGTGCAAAATTAATAAACGCCGGTGACGGTCGGGAAAGATGTGTTTTCCCCACTGCTACGTCGGCGGCCGGGGGCAGAGATGCCACGTAAAAGTGAGAGACCTCCCTTTAAGGAGATATGTCTTTCAACAACGAATTTTTACGTCCGTACATATCGTAGTGAGTAGATTTGGTGAGACTTGGATATGATAATTAAGAAGTGCAGTAGTAATTTCTATATATAGTAATAGTTTCCGCCAATTGTATTTATATTATAAAGACTCGGATTGCCAAAAACTTAAATAGAAAATTTACCGCATTTCTGTATTATCCCAACTTGATTAAATCTACACGATGTTTCGTACTGAATTTAATTTACGTTGCATTCTGTAGATTTGATCAGCGGTCACCAATTTTCCAGTGCACGTGTGCCTCAATACTAACATATCATGACAGACTGTTAAATATGTAGTGCCCAACAGAAAGCAGTCGGTTTCTTGCCAGAAAAATGAGTGAAAGACACCTCGCAAATGATATGGCTCCCGCTATTCCCCATTCGTCTGGCTATCAGGACGCCAATGTAGATCATGTAATTACCGAGTATATGGACAGGCTGGGTACGCGCCTCAACATTTTGGAAACAGAACTAAAGTATGCTTGGAGAGCCTTGGACCTGTTGAGTCAAGAATACATCAAGATGTGGGAAAGACTCGAGAAATTAGAAGGACTGCTCTTCGAACAACAAAGCGTGATTTCTCAGCTGATGGATTTTTATACGTCAGGAAGCGGACATAGGGTCGGTCCGACAGTTTCTATGCTAGAAGGAAGATTAGGTAAAACATAATAAAGGACACCGCACACATCTTATGAGTTTTTGGTTTTCTGTCCTGATAAAAAGTTCTAATAGGCTCAGCCCGATACTATGAATAGTTTTCGAGATACAGGTAGTTTAAAGTCCACGAAATGTACACATTTTATATGCATTTGAATCTACCTGTAACCTGATAATATACCAGGATTGACAGGTATCCATACGCTCAGTTGACAGGTAGATGTAAACGCATATAAAATGTGCACATTTCTTGACCATTAAACTACCTACAAGTTCCAAATCTTCAACATTTAAAACGATATTTTGTGAAGGGTATTTTTTTATATATTGACACCCCACCTACAACCTTTACCTTTACAAGTAGAAGAAAGGTGTAAAAACAAAAGTTGTTCAGTTCTGACTAAATCTTTAGAAACCATGGTCAGAAACAAAATTTAAATGTCAGAAATGTGAAATTTTGCATGCTTCCAGCTATTTCTAAATGGGATGCCCTATATTTCATTCTATATTCTTGAAGAACACAATGCCTCGATTCCAAAAATATATAGTTTGTCTATATTTGATTCAACAGTCTCTCATATATTCGGCTCCAAAAATTTTAAAATATTATCCTACTACTGATTTTGAGAACCATTCTACCTGTACAGGTGAAAGCTTCAGTTAAGATTTGAGGTACTTGGTTTCTCTGATAGTATTTTTGAAATTTTTAGAACCAAATATGTTGGAGACAGCTCAACCAAATATAGACAAGCTTTATAGTTTTGGAATCGGGAAATTGTGCTCTTCAAGAATATGGAACCAAATATAGCGCATCCCATTTGAAAAAAGCTGAAAGCATGCAATATTTCACATTTCTGACATCCAATTTTTGTTTCTGACTATGGATTCTAAAAATTTAGGCAATACTGTACAACTTTTGTATTTACACCTTTCATCTACTTGTAAAGGTGAAGGCTGTAGGTGAGGTATCAATACATAAAAAAATACCCAGTACTTGAACAATAACCTATCATATAAAGTCATAATTTGTAAGATTATCCACTGTTTGTCAATACGTTATTCAAGTACGATACTAACCTGATTCACTCAGTTGTGAATTTTTCTCATTAGTTCAAAAACTACTCATTTCAGGTGAGTGTCTTATTTGAATAATTCAACAGTATATTCGTGAGTAGATGGCTGCGGAACTCGCTGCGCTCGTCCCGCAGAGGTCCACCCATAAGTTCCGCAATAATCCACTCGTTTGTACTTGAATAACTTGTCACAATATATTACTCGTTTGATAAAATAACATTACTAATTCCTGTTAAAAGGCGATTTGCCAAAAGTGGATAATCTTTCAAATTTTTTGTATAATAATATTTTTCAAGTATAAATAACTGGATTGTTGCGGAACTTATGGGTGGACCTCTGCGGGACGAGCGCAGCGAGTTCCGCAGCCATCTATTTATCAATATGTTGTTTAATTACGATACTAACCTGACTCACTCAAATGTGAGTTATTCTCATTAGTTTTAAAACTACACGTTTCAGGAGAATGTCTTACTTGAAGAGTTCAACAGTATTTTGGTAAGTAGATGGCTAGGTCCACCCAAAAGTTCCGCAACAATCCACTTATTTGTACTTGAAAAATAACTTATTATACAAAGTCAGAATTTGGAAGATTATCCACTTTTTGTCAAATCGCCTTTCAAAAGGAATTAGTAATGTTACTTTACCAAACTAGTAATATATTGTGACAAGTTATTCAAGTACAAACGAGTGGATTGTTCCGGAACTTATGGATGGACTCAGCTATCTATTCAACAATATGTTGTTCAAGTACAATACTAACCTGATTCACTCAGTTGTGAATTTTTCTCATTAGTTCAATAACGACACGTTTCAAATGAGTGTCTTATTTGAACAGTTCAACAGTATATTGGTGAGTAGATGGCTGCGGAACTCGCTGCGCTCGTCCCGCAGAGGTCCACTCATAAGTTCCGCAATAATCCACTTATTTGTACAGGGTGTTTTTTTTATATATTGACACCCCACCTACAGCCTCCACCTTTACAAGTAGAAGAAAGTTGTAAATACAAAAGTTGTACAGTTTTGGCTGAATTTCTAGAAACTATGGTCAGAAACAAAATTTGAATGTCAGAAATGTGAAATTTTGCATGCTTCCAGCTTTTTTCAAATGGGATGTCCTATATTTCATTTTATATTCTTAAAGAGCACAATGCCCCGATTTGATTGAGCAATCTGTCATATATCCGGCTCCAAAAATTGTGAAAATACTAGCCTAGCTAATACTAAATAACTACCCTAAAATTTGAGGTATTTACTTGGTTTCTCTGATAGTATTTTTAAAATGTTTAGAACCAAATATCTTGGAGACGGCTCAACCAAATATAGACAAACTATATAGTTTTGGAATCGAGAAATTGTGCTCTTCAAGAATATAGAACCAAATATAGCGCACCTTATTTGAAAAAAGCTGAAAGCTTGCAATATTTCACATTTCTGATATTCAATTTTTGTTTCTGACTATGGATTATAAAAATTCAGCCAATACTGTACATACAACTTTTATATTTGCACCTTTCATCTACCTGTAAAGGTAAAGGCGGTAAGTGGGGTATCAATATATAAAAAAACACCCTCTACATTATATTCAATAGTCATCTTGTCTTCATCTACCTGTCACCTAATAATATACCAGGATTGACAGGTATCCACACGCTCAGTTGACAGGTAGATGTAAATGCATATAAATGTGTGAACATTTCTTGAACATTAAATTACCTGTATCTCGAAAACTATTCATAATATCGGATTGGGCCTATGAGAACTTTTCATCAGGCAGTCAAGATATACCACATATAAAAATTTCATTGAGTTTGACCAGAAACAAAAACCCATAAGAGGTGTGCGGGGTCCTTTGATAAATTAAAAAATTTGAAACTATTATTTTAGGTGATCTAGAAGTAATCAGAGAAATCCTGGGTAATGGTACAGTCGAAGATGGATTAGAAGAAGGTCTTGACGTCATTAGATCTCACGAGCCCCAAATTCAAGAAATCGATGAAATTCATGTCCCAGATGAGGCTTTTTACCGCAGCCTCAATCAAGCCTATGAAGAAGAATTGGTGAGCTGCGATACGATTGGTCAGCCAAGTCAATTGGATATGATTTGGGAAGAACGAGAAGAATCTGAAGACCTAGACAAAAAGAAAACGCCTGTCGAAGAAGAAATTTATAGCGCACTTGACTACAAAGACTATCGAGGAAATAGTTCTTGTGTTAGTGAGCAAGATATCGCTGAACTATCTAGGATAGATTCCATTGATCATATGGCGATAGAAAAGTTGAATGAGCTAGATCGATTGAGCAGTAAACTTCAGCAAGATAGTGCTAATATCAAGCAGCTGCAACGAAAGCTTCTAGAATCCCCAATATCCCTCTCAGGTGTTAATGAAGAATCAGCAGCAACAACGCAACAGGACAATGAAAACTGGACATTTTCATGTGATGTGCGGGATCAAAATGACTTGGTGATGCTTGCAACAAGTGAACTTTCCAGTGCTCTTTCTAACGGGACTTATTCCGGTCGGCCTAGTTCGAGACTCAGTGTAACTGATACCGATAAAGAAGTCGCGGAGACACTAGCCGGTGGTATAAGGACGCCAACGTCACCTAGAAGACGACAAGTTGATACATCTTGTAGTGAACCTTTTTCCACGGTTGATGGTCGGTTAGCTTACAGTGCGGCAGTGCAACACGTCGAATGCGCCGAAGCTGCAGCCGCTGCAGCACTAAGAAACTCAAAAAATCCTTTTTATTGTAGCGATCTTGACTTGTCTGTACTAATGCCAGCTTCTTACGATACTGTACCTTGTTCAACTCCAAATATTTTTCATCTTATATCAGAAAAACCCCCTTCTCCTTCATTATCTATTTGTAGTGTCAGAACAAGGAAAGATGGGTATTTAGATCCCGAAAAGCCTCCATGTCAGTCGCCCAGTCCTCCTCCCCCAGCACCTACTGACGGATTCTTCCCTAATAACGCAAATTTATTGGCAAGCAATTATCTGGGACCAGACTCACATCCATCGTCTTCAAATACTAATCAACAACATTCTCCTAGATCACCCAAAACATCGCCTAAGAGAAGCAAATCTCATTCATCCAATATAGTTGCCGCTAAAAGTGATTCAGGTCTCTCATCTATGTCAGGATGGTCCAGTTTAGAAAAGTCTCCTGGTTCTCCTAAAAATGGCAAGCCTTATAACCACTATGCATATAATAACAGACCTGCTTCTCCAAATATTTCCAATTCTCCTGCCAAAATGCGTGGCTACGCAGAATCATCCGTGGATTCTAGAATTTCTGAATCTAATCATTTAGAAATTTTGCCTGGAGGACACCACTCTTCAGCTTTTACTAATGTCAGGTCACCAAGTAATATTCAATTAGACGGATATGGAACATTTGTGCCTGCCCCAGCTCCTGCCTCGGACATTAACGTTAGTCCCAACAAAAATAAAATGGCAGAACAGGGTCAATGTTGCACTCAAAGCTCAATATCCCCTTATTTGTTTCATCATAATCAGCCAGCTATTTATTCAGTGGCAGGTAGCAACAACAAAGATTCGTATACAACAGTTTATACAAGCAACAGTGCTGATTATATTAATCAAACTATCCATTATCCTGACTTGGTAGAGCCTTACGAAAACAACGAACTTACAAATGCTCAACAATCACCTTATTATAATTCTCTAACTTCTGGTGCTGAAACGGAGCCTGGGAGAAGAAGGCGATCATTAACCAGATCGTATTCGACAAACAAACCTCCGGATGGACTAGCAAATCACGAAGGTTACAAAACTGCTATGTACAGAACCATGTTTCCTACTGGAAATATTACAGATGCCTTAAGTTATTATCCAACCTCTAGTCGATACGAATCAACAATGAATAATCTACCTCAAGGATCCTACAATGATGCAGCTGTTTGGCTTAGTTGCGGTCCAGAAGCACAATATCAAGACAATGCTAGCACGTCTAGTTCAATGAAATCCGCTGAAACCTCTGAGACTGGTTATTCGCCTTACATGGACAGAAGGCAACAGCAACTTGCACAAAATCAACCAATTTATGAAAACCAGCAGCAAATCGAGCAACATCAGAGGAATTGGCAACAAAGACAGGATACTTCTAGACTAGATTTGGATTTACGAAACAGAAATGTTCCTGAATATGTTGTCCAACAACAAAGTCATAACAATGGCTATTATGATACAGGCATAGATGTTATTATGACTCAATCTGGAGAATATATTACAATTAATAGTAGTACTCATACAGCAGCACCAAGAGAAGAGAAAAAAAAGTTAAAACGTGGAAGCACCCTCAAATCTGCCATGAATTCAGTTAGTAATTGGTTACCAGATTTGCATTTACCTAAAAGAAATAGATCGTATTCCCTGCCTGGGGGTATTAAAAAAGAAGACATGGAAAAACCTAAAACCTCACTAAGTAAATCACATGGAAGTCGTAAAAAGAAACGAAACGCCATTGTATCAACTGTATCAGGAATTCTTCAGAAAGCTAAAAGAAAAGCACATGGATCACACCATTCTTTATCTGACCCAGAACAGTCGGAAAATGAATGGGTATTAAAACGAGCTAACTCAGTTGTATCTGAAGATGATAGAAGTGAAGACAGTACAAGTATATCGGAGAATGTTTTTGAAAAAGACCTTTTTCCCAAAATAAGTCCGAAACCTAAAACAAGAAAAAGTAGCAGATCAGATGATGATAATCGCTCGAAACCATTACAACCTACTAGTGAAACAAAAATATCACCTCCAAAAGAACAATTATCAGGTGAAGATAATAATCAATTGCAGCTTTATGAAGAAGATTATTCAATTCAAAGCACAGGAAGCGGCTCTAGTAATATATTTAGTACAATGGGTGAAGCTAAACGAAGCAGTGGTTCTTCAGATAAAAGTGATGAAACTGTTATTGTTGATAGCAAAATGGTGGTGGTTGTTGGAAGTGGAGCAGGAGGTGCCTCTATGGAATTTGCTGTTTCAAGAGCTCTAGGAAAATATAGACAAAAACATTCAAATTCATTCACAGAAGATCCTATAGGAGAAAATATTGAAGATAGTATAAAAATTGAAGAAATTTTTGAAGATGATACCAGAGAAGAAATTTTAGAACCAACTATCGAGACTCCTTTGAAAATTGTCGAACAAAAGTCGACTGAGAGTAATAGCAGTATGGAAAATAATAGACTAGAAGAATCTCATACTGCTGAAGGTAGTCCAATAATGCGTACCAATATGAGCCGCTTTTTTCCAAGACATCAACAAAGTTTGGAAATTCCGAGCCATCGAGATGACGAAGATAGCCGTAGTACACATTCGTGGAGAAGTACTTCTAGAGTCTCTTCTCGAAGACAAAGCACAGAAGATAGTATAGATAGCGAGGACGAGTGGTATTGCTATGAACTAAGAAAGCTAGAAGAAATGGAAAGGCAAAAAGAGTTAGAACAAGACATGGGTTCTACTTTACATGAACTTCCAGAAACCGAAGAAAGTGAAAGCTATGAACCAGAAGAGGAAGTAAAAGAGAGAATGTCTTTTGTGCTCCGAGAGCTTAGAATGAAGGCAAAAGTTGTTAATGGGGTTTTAGATGAACAAGACCATAATTTGCTAGCAGTGAATTCTGCAAGAAGGCGGGAAGAAAAACGCGGGTCGTTTCATTTAGATGAAGCAGCTGCTTTGTTTGAAAAAATCAAAGTTTATCATCATGAAACTTTAGAGCGGGAAAGACAAGAGCAGGCCGATATAGTTATTGAATTATTGGCCGAAAAAACACCCGAACAATATCATTACTTAGAAGAACCTACTAAAGATGATGATGATCGATCGTCTGGAGCGACATCTGGACCTGACAGCCCTCATCATAGCACTGACGAATACGATGAACTTGAAATGAAAATAAATGACGAATTCGCCCGATGTCATTTATCAAATGAAGAACAAGAAGAAAAAATAAATAGAGATACAGCCACTCAACAACAAAGAAACTCAACAGACTCGGCTATTAGTCAAAATATTCCATCAATTGAGGTAGCGTCAGCTACACCCAGCAAAGAAGAAGCTCCAAAAGACCCCAGTAAGGAGACTCCTGGCAGTAAATGGAAGCTTCTGAAAACTCTAAAAGAGAGGAAAGCTGAAGAGAAAAATAATCAAGGGAAAGTTGTCCCAGAGCCAGCACCTCCTCCTGTTAAAGAGGAAAAAGTGAGTATGCTGGGTATTGTGAAGAATTTTTACGAGATACATGTTAAAACTTAGCTTTGATGGCTTTTGATGTAAGCTTTAGTGTATAGAAAATCCTAAACAAGAGTCAATTTCATGTCATATCAGTCACACCATCCTTCATTACTTACCTGACAAAAAACAAAATGTTTATTTTAATTTTATGTGTATTGTATAAATAATGTTAAATATTTAGCCGTGATTATATAAGAAAAATGTTTAATTTTCATATACCTGCATCATTCTATATCTGACAAATATATTCATATCATTCTTCATTCAATGTATAACTACATAATACTAATTTGTTGCTGTCAGTTATACTGGTGAATAATTTATTATAATTTTGGCTTACCTAGAAATTGATTAGCTGAAATTAAATATTGCATAATTAACGCACAATTAACCATTCCCTTTGATACCGCAAATGTAAAATTTTAATGCAGAGGTCAGGTTTGAGTTTTAAAAGTACTTCAATGTAAATTGCATTTTCAATGTAAACTTAATTAAATCTGGAGCAGTTAGCCCAGACGTTTAATTAAAAAGTTATTTGTATTTATTGAGAATAGCGGGGGTATGAATAGCTGACAGGAATAAAATTATTTTAAGAAAATTGTCTTGCATTTAATAAAAAACAGCTTCTAGATTATAATTATTGGAATACAGGAAATTAAAAAAACGTTCAAATATTCTTGGGATTCAAAATCTGATTTTATTGAAGACAATTTCCAAGTGAATCAGTAATATACCTACTTTATTGCAATTATTTTTAAGTAACTAAGACTATTTCAAAAATAACTCAATTTAATTTTGAATAACTTAATCACATCTGGATCTGGATAGTTGCAAAGGAGGGCTCACTGACACTAGGCCTCTCCTTGGGACTCTTTGTGTCACCTCCATTTGTTAAGGCGCATTCTCCTTCTTGGAGGTCTCCCGCAGACATCCCACCCGTTGGATAAATTGCAGGTGAGGTGCGCCTCAACCTGGCCATATCAGGCCAGATGTCCCCCAGTATGGCTTGCCGTTGTTGACAAAAGGTTGGGCAGTGACAAAGCACATGCTCAACCGTTTCGTCTGCAGCATCGCACCACCTACACGTTGGGGTCTCAAGGTGTTTATTTAGTCTACAGTGTCCTGAGTAAATTCCTACCAGTAGGCGGAGGTTTTCCCTCGACAACTGTACACTATACTCGGCTCTTTTCCTGCTAAGGAGGTCGATCATTGATCCGCTCTGCTTACAAGTGTCTAACACATTTTCGCGTGCTCTGAACCAGTGATTCGTTTAACCTCGGCAAGGACGGTGTTAGTTGATAAAGGAATCATGGGTTGAGGTCCAATCGGCGCCTTCTCTGAAGCTGCTGTGGCAAGACTGTCAGCCTCTTCATTGCCTGCGTTGTTATCGTGCCCTTTGACCCAACACAGTTCATCGATGTTCTTTTGTGCGAGTTCTTGTAGAGCCTCTATACACTGCATAATCAGCTGTGAGTTTGTTCTAGCGCTGTCAAGAAAATCGCACTCGTTCGCCGTCAATTTCTGGATCGATGGCTATCTTGGTTCCCTGGATGACCGCCAATAATTCCGCCTAAAAGACGGTGGTGTAATCAACAAGGGAGGTACTTATGCGGAGGTTCAGTTCAGGTGAGAAAATACTCGCTTCTGTTCCTCTACTAGTTTCCGATCCGTCCATGTATATTGAGACCGTTGGAGTAGCCTGCGCCTCACCCAACTTATAGACACTGTAGGATCTTTTTGTTATCTGTGTGGGCATTTTGCAATCCACCACCGCAACCAGCAGGGGTGCACTTCTGCACCCTTCCGCTAGTATGCGGCAATATCCCTCCACCCAGCTTCCGTGCTGCCACAAGCCCAAGGGGTTTAATCTGCAGGCAGTCGAAAGGGCCATCTCCTCTATATACAAGTGCAGAGGTAGCAGATCCAAGACCGCCTCCATTGCCCTCATAGCGCCCGTTATCCCGATACACGCAAGTAGTTGCGTTTTATCGAGTTGGGTCCTCATTTCCACTTGTCTGGTTCTGGGCCACCAGACAAGAGCTGCATAGCAAACCATTGATTCTATGATGGCGGTGTATATCCACAGGGTGATTTTGGGTGTGAGGCCCCATGACCTGACTGCCACATGGCTATGTTCGCTTTTTCCATTTTTACCGCAATGTGTCTTTTACAGCTGAGCTTTTGATCAAGCACAACTCCCAGCTACTTGACCTCTGGGTTCAGCTGTAGACTGGTAATATTTAGCCTGGGTATTTGCATACCACTTAGCTTTCTTTTCCTGGTGAAGAGGAACAACTCCGTTTCCAGTGGATTCACCGTCAGGGAGTGCTCCTCACACCAAGATGAAGAGCCGTTTGCATGAGATTGCATAGAACGCTCTCAATCTTGCCTGTAAGCAGAATGCACAAGTCATCTGCGTAACCTATAGTAGGGAATCCCGCATCATTTAAGCTATGTAGGAGGCTGTCTACCACAAGATCCCAGAGAATCGGTGATAACACACCATCTTCTGGGCAGCGGCTCTTAACCAGAGCATTGATAGTGGTGTCGCCTGTATTAACTTTCACGACCCGCCAGCTAAGCATTTTCTCTATTCATCTGGTGATGGTAGGTAGAGCCCCATGTCTAGCTAGACCTTGCTTGATATTATCGAAGGTCGTTCTGTCGAACGCTCCTCCGATATAAAAAAATGCTGCCAGGGTGGACGTTTTCCAATCCAGAGACTGTTCAATCCTACACACGACTACGTGGATTTCCCTGGTATATATGCATGTTGGTTTCAGTGAAGGAGGTTGCGTTCAAGGGGTCCTTCCCTTAAGTTTCGTTTGCACAGTCTCTCAAGAGCCTTTGATAAAAAGGATGAAAGGCTGATTGGACGGTATGATTTGACCTTAGCATAATCAGCTTTGCCTGGCTTGGGTATAAAGATTACTTTTACCTCTCTCCATTTCTCAGGTAGGGGAGACTAGAGAGGTTTGAGACAAAAATATGATTTTATTTCCTGAAATAATGAGAATACGTATTATAGAATCAAAAAAGGTAAATTTTTATTGCACTTTCCATTTATTACCATGTTTCCAAAATAATTTTTTGATTTTTTGCAAACATTTAAGGCGAGTAGGAAATATAGTCTCAAAGCTCCGGGAAGGGAGAGTTGAGACAACCAATAGGGAGCCTTGAGACACTTGAATATTTATGAAAAAAAAAAAAGAATATATTTATTTAAGATGAAAAAATAAAAAAATAAGTAATTTCTGCACGATTTTACCGTACGTTAGTATAAAAACCAAAGTCTAAACCAAAAGCCAAAGTAGATTTCATCCGTTCAGTGCCACCCACAGTTTTTGGGAATGGTAGTTTTAAAATTATGTCCTGTTCCTGGACCGTTGATATATCTTCTACTGTAGGGTACACAAATTTCCAACTAGTGCCTTTGCGAAGTAAATATTTTATTTCACACTCACATAATGCCTCTACATAATGCACAATAATTGTTGTTTTTGTGGCAAATTTCACCAATACAAAGTCTCCAGCTTGAATTGTTTTTACATCCTCAAGTGCTTTGATTTGAAGCTATTCCTTCTCGTAACTTTCAATTTCTAAGACATCCTCGCTGCTCCCATCTGACAATTTAGGCTCATCTTCATCACTTGAAAAGGGAGAAACTGTAGGAGCGGGATTGCTTACTTTTTGGGACAGAAGGCCGCCGTCTTTTATTGAAACAACTCTCTTTTTTTCCGAGCATTTAGTTCAGCTTCTATTTCGTTCTTCTCTGGGGTCTCGGATATAATGTCGCGCAATAAGCTTTTCTTAACTTCGACTTCCTTTTGCCTTCTAAACTCTTCGAGTTCAGCAAAAAGTGAGCGTAGAAAATGTTTTTGAGGTGAAACAACAACCCTTTTTGTTTACCAAGAGTGTTTGTACAACTTCTCAGTTGTACTGAGAGGAGGTCCCGCCAAAACCACCCTGCTGGTTCTTTAAGGAATGAGCTTGCGAACCAGCAGCCTCCAGAAAAAAGGAAGTGAGAATTGACGTTTTTTATATGATATGGGAGCAGGGCTCCAACTCGGTTTTTTGAAGTCTGAGGGGCCGAAGTTGTATTAACACGGTGTCTAGAAACTTTTGTTTGCAACGACAGTACGTTGAACTCAGATGGCACTCTGAGGAAACCGTCGAGCGGCTTCGAGAAGTTAAGTGACAAATAAAAACACAGGGGAACAGAAACGGTGCACCAGGTCCGAAAACCAGTCTAACCTTTGAAGGTTCGTGTGTTTTTTTCAAAGTCTCGTCTGTACTGTAGTTAAAAAGAGGTTTTTCCTAAAAACCCTCCTTAAATTTAAGCTAGAGGTAGTTTCGACTATTGTCTCCTTATTAAACTCTGTTCTAACTCGGCGGCAATATTGCCTTTGTCTTTGTTTTGAAATTGAGATTTTTCCGTAAAAAAATTTCCAGAAAAATTCAAGCTGGGGGTAGTTTCGTCTTTTGTTTTCTTATAAAACTCTGTCCCAACTCGGCCAAGCTAATCTTGCTTTAAGTTAAATTGAAATTGAGATTTTTCCTAAAAAAGCCTCAAGAAAAAGTCAAGCATCGATAATTTAGACTTTCTAGTCTTTTTACAAATTCTGTCCCAACTTGGTGAGCCTTTGGAGGAAGAGAATGATTATTTGATTTTTGAGTTTCAATTCGACGTGGAGCTTGCAGAAGAGATGAGAATTTTCATTAAAATTCACGAGAATCGTCGAGGACGGACATGGGGGGTCGAGAAGGTGTCCAAAAGTATAAGTCACAAACGCGGAGGAGGAGTCGAGATTTCCTGGACGGAAAGCTGCACGAATGTGCCGAATTTGAAACGCGGGACTCAATTGAGAACCAGAAATCAAACGAATTTTCTTTTTCTTCCAGACAATTGCCCTAAAAAGGACTTTGTCGGGGATTGGTGGTAAGCTAATGCGAAGTACTCCCCCAGG